GGCAACTTTTCCTTGACACGGGAGACGTCAATGAGTGGGGGGGGGGGGGGGGGGGGGGGGCTCAAAGTGGGCGGACAAGAAAGGGGCTGTGCGTGTGACCGGTCCGGCGACGACCGGTCCCTCCTCGCGACGGTAAAGGCGCGAGGGGGGGCGTACGCATGGGCCTTTGGCCGACAACGCCAGCTGGAAAAAGCTTGTGACTCAGCCGCGTGGAGGAGAAGAGGCCCCGCCCCGCTCGGCCCGCCCGGCGCCACCTCCGGCGCCTCAGGGCCCTGGGATTAGGTTTTCCATCGGCCGACCGGCGCGATCAAACGAGATTGTGGGCCCAGGACAGGGTGCCAGGGTGTAAGCGTAACTGCCCTTCGAGGCGCCCTGCTCCCGAAGGTTTTCCCACAGGTGGGCCGCAGACAGGGCGTGGAGGAGAGAAAGCCCCAGGGCGGCGGCTTATCGGGCAATCGCACCAATGCGATGACCCCACCGACTGGGCCCGATCCCCCCCCCCCCCCCAGGTTGCCAGGTCCAGGCCATCGGCACCGCAGGGAAAGGAGGCTCGGGGCTCGGATTCGGCGTGCATCTGGCCCACGCTCGTGGCCCGGGGCGGAAAGATGCCCCCGAAGCATGAGCGCAATCACTCATCGGATTGGGGCTTGATACGGGCGGCCGGCCGTGTTGGCGCCCGTGGGTATGTCCCACTGTCGACGGACCCTGGTGGCCTTGAAGGGGCCCATGCTGCCAGCAACCTCGCCCTGAAGGAATGTTATCTCCCGAGGCCGGGCCTTCCGGCCTGGCCACTTGGTCGTGGTCTTTAATCCCCCACTTCCCGGCGCGCATGCCGCAGGCGTGTGAACAAGTTGCCTTGCCCTCCGCTCGCCCCCCCCCCCCCGGCCAATACGCGGGCGCCAGGCCATGACAAGGGGCCTACATGGCACCCTGGTTGATGCTCCGCCGGCGCGGCGGCCCACGGGCGGGGGGGCACGCAGGGCGAGCAGTTGCTGCGCCAAGATCTTGGCATCGATGGGCAATATAGACTCGGGATGGGATTAACGATTAGGGCCGGGGGGCCAGCCATCTGGGACACGACATCGACGCCGATGGGAGCCGATGGTCGTGGTTCATGCGCGAATGGTTGCTCCCGGCATGGGCGACGCCCGGCCGTGTGGTGGGAGAACATCTCCAGCATGCCCCGGGCGGCCATCCTGATGGGGATCAAACGGCACGAGGTCTCTCTCGGTCGGGTCTGGATGCTGTGGAGCTGGGCTTCCGGTGGGGCATCCGCGCCGTGTGGATTGTCCCCTCGCCCGCCTGCCCTCTTCGACTCTGGCCAGCGGTCGTTGGCTCCCCCTCGCACGGGGCCGAGAGCGAAAGCTGCGGAGAGGGCAAACGCACACAGCCGCGCACACAGCCGCGCCATTCGCAATCCGCCTCTTTCAACAGCCGGCAGTCGCAGCATGGATTAACTTCGGCACGCTCGGGCTGCTGTGTGGCCGTGGCCAGCTTGCCAGTGGGGTTCCTCATGCGCCTAGGGAGGATCGTGATTGTGTTTGCATCAACCTCTCTGCGAGCGTGCATGAGCTGTGTCTGCAATCGATCCGGAAGCATCACTAGCGCCCGGTCCCCTCTGTCCGTAATCACACACAAACACACACACACGCATGTTGTTCCTGGGGGACTCCTCTGGTGGATGGCCCTCCCGGGGAGGCGAGGGGCCAGGGGGGGGGGGGGGCGCCCTTTGGCTGTGGCGATTGGTCCTGTGGGCCGTTCCTTCCCCGGGGGAAGCTGCCTCCGGCGCCGGTCCAATGAAAGAGGGAATCCCGGCACGAGCCCTCGATGCTCCCTTGTTAATGCGTAGGGGCCCATCATGTTCAGCCTCGTCCTCCGGTGGGCCCCGAATGGCGCGCTCTCGGGCCACTCGGCGGGGCCGCCCTCTCCTTGTCCCCTGCACATCCGCCCGTCCGGCATCGCCATGCGCCTCGATCTGCCCGGCGGATTCACGCCACCCAGGGGGCGACTGGAGGCATGGGCCCCTGTCCTCGTCGGGGCGACCGATATTACGCCCGCTGGGGGGCAGGCCCCGGGCCGGGGCAATTCAATGCGCCGAGGGGCGAGGAGTCATTTTGTAACAATGAGGGCGGGGGGGGGGCGGGGGAGGCAGGACAGCCCTTGAGGCGATCCATGCCACCAGGCCCCCTCTTTCCACGGAAAGGCGGGCCATGGGCATGAGGCCCGGGCGCTCTTCATCGTGTGTGTTGCATCTGCCCGCTGGCTGATGTCTCCCTCGCCCGAGGGACCTATAAAAGGCCCCCACTTGCAAGCATCTCTCCCAGCAATCGGTCACCCAGATTGCCTTCGCTGCTTCCTTCTGCCCTTGCCCTGTTCCCCTTGCGCGCGCGCTCTCTCTAGCTCTCTCGCTCCCAAGCTCCTCAGCCCCGGACCTCCCCCTGCCCCGGAACAACCCATCGTACGTCGCCCCGACCAGGGACAGGGAGGACATGCACAAGATAGAGGACCTTCCCAATGCCACGCGCTTCACACCATGTTTGACGCTGCCTAACCGTATTTTCCCCCGACCCCTCCGCTCCCGCTTGATAGACAATGGCCGTCCTCCTCACTCTGATTCTTGCCCTTCTCCTTGGACGCAAGGTGGCCCAGGATGTCAGCCGGCCTGCTGCCCTGCCCGCCATCTCCTCTCCGGCCGACAACCCACTATGAGGGCTTGACTACCGGTCCGGTGTCTGCTCTACTCGGAAATCCACCACCGCCTTCGGCTCCGGTCCGCAGGGCTGCCCCGTCCACTATCGCCGAGGGCCTTTCCCCATGTCTTTTTTGTGCGTAGCCATCCAGCCAGCCCACGCTTGTCCGCCGGGGGATGGGTGCCTTCTTCTGTCCCCCCCCCCCCCCCCCCCCGCCCATGTGTTTGCCTCTCATCGTGGCTTCTCGCGACTTGGCCGCTGACCCTCGTCCCGGCGCCGGCTCCCCTTGCCCACAGTCACCGTTTCAGATCACAGCCAGGGGCCTGACTGCCACCTGAAGGGCCTCCCTCCCCGAGAGCGCCCTGCCCACGCGCACCTTGCCCGTCGCCAACGAGTCCCCACCCCTCGCTTCGAGCATGGGCGCAGGGCTGCATATGTGGGCCCGGGCAGGCCATCAGCCAGCTGGACTGGTTTATGACTGCCGTTGCGTTTTTCGCGCGCGCGCGCGCGTGCGCTGCTGTTCCCCGCACGCCCCCCCCCCCCTCCCCCCTTGCCCCGTCGCCCGGCCCGCCCCGACGGCGGCGGCGTGCTCCCCGTTTTGTCCAGCCGGGATTCCGCGTGTCGCTCGGTGAGCAGACGTGTGCGCTGGCCTCCTGCGCCGCCTACAGTCGCGATCTCCCTGCCTCTCGCAATCCCCCCACGGCGATCTGCTCTGATCGGCAGCGCGCCCCCATGAAAAAGGAAAAATACAAAAATCCAAAGTTCCCCCTCAAATGTTGCCACACCGGGGGGCGACCTCAACCGGGCGAGCGCCATCCCCAACGTCCTCCATTCCGTTCTCCCGTTGTTTTCTCCCTCCTTCTTTCTCCCTTTCTCTCTCTCTCTCTCTCTCTCCGTCTCTGTGTCTGTGTCTGTAGGGTTGCTTCCCCCTCCTCCTCTCCCGCTCGGGAATTGCTGACGTGGTCATGGCCTATGCCCAGCCGCTCGCAAGCCAAGACCGCGACCTAACCCACTTGGCCACCGCCGGCCGGGCAGTCGCTGTGTCCTGCCTGATTTCGGCCTTTTGCAATGTGCATTGGAAGTGCGGATGCATGTGCACATTTCGTTCCCTCCCCTGGGCTCGCTTCTTCCACCCTTTCCCCCTTTTCTCGCCCTCTATCTTGCCGGTCGAGTGCTCTTTTCTTTCTCTCTCTCTCTCTCTCTTACACACACATACATAATATCTCGTTTGTGCATGGCATCCCCCGTGTAGTGGTGCTCCGCCGGAGGCGGCAGCTCTTTTCTGTTGGCACCTCTCACGAACAGCCGGCTCCCCGGAGGCCCTTCGTGTAGCCGAGTTTGGGTGTCATCTGAAGGCCTTTCCCCTGAGCCTGGCCATCGGACAGCTGGCGAGCATCGTTCAGGACACACCCGACGACCACTTTCAGACCGACGCCCCCTGGCCCGAGTACACCGCACTGTTGGTACGCATGCGCATGCCCCTGCACGAGCCACTGCCCATGTGTCTTTCGGCCTTTGGCCGGGCATGGCCGGGCTCGCCCCACCTTCGCGCTCCTCAAACTGACATCCCCTCCTGGTGGATGGTCCGCCTGCTCCCCCCACCACCCTGACTGCGGCCCTCGCTCCTTCGTCGTCGCCTGGAAGATCGATGTCATGGCGGCCATCTCGGCAGCGTGCCTGTTTGAAGAGGTCCCAGCCGCATGTGATCTTCCCTTCAACCACCTCCTTGCCTCAATTGACCGGTGTGTCGTTATCCGCCTCCGGCTGCCCTGCCACCCTGCTCCCCGCTCTCCCTTGCTCTCGCTCGCCATCGACATCCGAATGTCCACTCACCTGAGGGGACTTCATCAGGGTCCTCGGCCCGGCCGTCGGCCACGCCGGCCTTTTCCCCACGGGCGAGGACTCGCCTGGTGCGGCATCCTTGGCCGCCCTGCTGGGAATTCGCATGTCGGTGGCTCGTCGCACCGGGCATTTCCGCGAGCTCCTCGCGCGGGGGCCTCCCTCCAGCCGGCCGGCGGGCGAGGACCTGTCCTTCCGCCGACACCAGACAGATGTGGCCTTCTTCGTGCGATCGCTCATCCACATGATCCTCGGCGACGCTCGGCCGGCCGGGCCCGAGGGGACACTGACTGATCGTGAAGCCCTGCTTCATGGCCGAGCCATGGCCTTCATCCGAAGTTTGTTCGTGCCACTTCTCTCTGACTTCGGTCTCATCAGGGGTGGGGGTGGTGGTGGGCAGGGGAGGACGAAGGACTCGATCGGCCTTTCTCGCCTCACATGTTGCCGAAGTTCGGCCCACGCGCACATATGCACACGCACACATGCACACGCACACATGCACACGCACACATGCACACGCACACGCACACGCACACATACATGCAGGCGTGCACCCCAGCGGCCTCGCCACCGCTATCGTTCCCCCCCCCCC